AGAAAAATGTATTTTAAAAATAAGGAAAATCAAACAAGGGCTTATTCTAAGGCTATGGATGAGAAAAATCATTTGAGGGAAAAATGTAATTAAACCCCTAGATAAGGCTATGGATGAGAAAAATGTAATTGAATCCCTAGATTCTAACATTGTTGATGTCTATGTTGTCATTTAACCTACTGATCTGAATACTGCATATTTTGCAAATAACTATGGTCAAATCTAAGAATGGATCTTGAATTCAGGGTATACTTTTCATGTGACTTCTAGACAACACTAGTTAGAGAATTAAAAAAAAAATGAAGGGAAGTGGTTATGTGTAAAAATGTAGCTCAAAGGGTTGAGGAGATTGACAATGTGACTTTGAAATTTAAAAGTGGATATGTCTACATTCTTGAAAGGTCAAATACGTCCCAAATTTAAATAAAAATTTGATTTCAATGGGGTATCTAGACGACATAGGCTTATAGGGTCTGACTGAAAATAACCCATTGAAAGTGAGTAAATGGTCACTTATTATCTTAAAGGCTACCTAAAGAAATAGTGTCAATGTCACTCGGGCTAACGTAGTTCCGAATCACACTTTTGAGACCAATTTTAAGAGGGATAATTGCAACTGAGGTCCCAATTCTTTCAAAAACTTGCAGACTTTTTCCTTACCTTTCATTTATTGCAGCCGTCACTCTAAACCTTTCAAAATGTTGCGGATGAAGCCCCAATGGATGAATTCCATTCATATTTCTGTTAGTTGACCGAAACACTGGACTTTGACCACATATTAATCAATTATAAAAGGACAACGTGATAACTTTATATTTTTCACATTAAAAAACTTAAATAAAAAACAACTAAAAAAAAGGAAGAAAACAAAATAAAAAGAAAAAACCTGTTCTCCCTCATTCCCACCCCCAACCAAACCCCAACCCCAATCCCTAACCTAAAATCGAAAATCCACCGGTACCGCCATCTTCCATTAGCACTCAAAAATGGCCATCTTTTGAAAGCCCGAGCTTTTTTTGGGATCCGTCACCATCTTTCTCATCTTTGATGCCTCAACAGTAATCCCTATCAAGTTCGTGCTCATCACCATCAGTAGGTTCTCTTTCGCTCCATTTTCCCACTCACGCTTGAGATTGTACTGTTGGGCGTAGACACTTCGACCTCCTCCTCCTCCAAGTCCGTCGCTGCAAGCAAGCGGTTAATGTCAATACCCTTCAGAACCATCCTGGTTTCTCGATCTGCTATAACCACGCCAAATACGTTCAGAAAAACTTGCTACAAAATTTGTCTAGATTAAATAACAAAACAAAATGTGTGAAAGCCGAGGTGAGAAAAAGAAGAAGAAGAAGTGGATCAATTTTTCAGATACTGTCTTACTGCTTGTTAAGTTGTTAACAGCTTTTCCATCATGTGTGCGTGTGTGTGTATATATACACACACACATCCAATTTTCTGCTAGGAAAATCAATCCTAGACTCAAACCCAAATATTCTTTGTCCAAAATCATTTTCCAAAAAAAAAAAAACCCAGGTTCTTGAGTTCCTGGCTCTGTAAAGAGAGAAGAACTGAAGGTAAAGCCTTGATTCAATTGATGAATGTAGATTGGCATGTGGGGATGCAATGAAACCATTTTATAGAGTAGAAATTAGATTCCTAGAGATGGTCAGTTTTGAGTGCCAATGGAAGATGGCCATGCCAGTGGTCGTCGGGAGGTGGTGGTGACGATGGATTTTCGGTTTTGGAGAGTAAAGGAGGAGAAGATTTTTTTTCCTTTTTATTTTGTTTTCTTCTTTTTTCCTCTTGTTTTTTATTTAAGTTTTTTGTGAGAAAAGTATAAAGTTACCATTTTACCCTTTTATAATTGATTAATAAGTGGTCAAAGTTTAATTTTTCGGTCAACTGACAGAAATATGGATGGAATCCATCCATTAGGGCTTCATCCGCAATGTTTTGAAAGGTTTGGTGGTGACGGTTGCAACAAATGAAAGGCTAGGGAAAAATCTGCAACTTTTTGAAAGGTTTAAGATCTCAGCTGCAATTATCCCATTTTAAAATGGCACAATAAATTGACTCATTTATGTGAAAAGGCCTTGTAAATCCTTCAAAAAAGGGACTATTGGGAACGATTTCATTTCAAAATTACATTTTTTGAACATTGCACTTTAGGCAAACAATACGACTCCATATTAATACTGAAAAAACATAAAACTACTTCTATTTTGAAATACGTACATTGTGACCTATTGAAGGGAGAAATAAATACTTCTTGTCTTTGATTGATGATTTTTCAAGGAAAATATGGTTTTTTATTATTTATTATTATTTTTTTGTTGAATAGAAATTTGATACTTTCGAAAAAATTTAAAACTTGAAAAAATTAATGGAAAATTAGATTGGTAAAAAGATTAAAATTCTTAAAGCCGATAATGGGTTGGAAATTTGTAATGCTGAATTTGATCAATTTTGCTGGATTAATGGTATTTTTAGACATAAGATTGTCCTCTACATCCCTCGATAAAATGGAATTGTTGAGAGAATGATTATAACTCATGTTGATACGATGAGGTATATGATGGTTAGTTTTGGGGTCCCTAATTCTTTATAGGACGAAGCTGTAATGACAACAACTTATATAATTAATAGAACTCATTCTAGTGCTCTAGAATTTAGGAGGTTTGGTCTCACAAGTGTTAGATTACACTCATTTGAAAAAAATTTGCTGTACTATTTACTCTCATCAAAGTATTGGCAAGTTAGAGCCAAGGTTACAAAACTCAATTATTTTTTTATTTTTTTGGAAATCCGAAAGGGGTTAATTGGTACAAATTGTGAGCTAGAGATTCTAGAGGTTCTAAGATAATTGCTAGTAGGAATGTGACTTTTAATGAGTCTAGCATGCCTTGTTTAAATAGAAGAAGCTCTAAGAGGGTTTTTGAGAAAGGAAAAGTGCGTGGGACCAAGCTGCAAGTGGAGATTGAGTCCACACCTGACTTCAATAATGAGATTTAGGAAGAAAATGAATCAGATATGTTTTTTATTTTGAAGAAACTGTTGAAAGGAATGATCAAAGGGTAGAACAAGAACAGTAAAATACTCTAAAGGACTATCAATTGACTAGAGATAGGATTAAGAGGAATAAGAGTACCGTTTAAGTTTAGTGACTAGATTTTCCTTGTTGTGCTCTCATATCAAGATTTAGCCTTTAAAGAGCAAAAATCTTATGATGAAGCTATAAGCTGCTGGTTATTTAAAAATTAGCATTATGCTATGGTGGAAGAAATGAATTTTCCGATTAAGTAAGACTTGAAAAATTAGTACCTAGGTCTACAAAAAAAGAAGAAGTTACGTGATTATATATGTATTTATAGTGTAAAAGAGGAAAATACTAAGAAACAACCTCTTAGATTTAAGGTCAGACTTGTTGCAAAAGGATTTTACCCAAAAACAATATATTGATTATAATGAAATTTCTTTGCATGTTATTAAATACACTATAATAAAGATAATGCTTGCATTAGTTGCTCATTCTAATTTTGAACTTGAACGAATGAACTTCAAAGTTGCCTACATTGTGATTAGAAGAAACTATCTCTTTTCAGCTGGTCACATGACTCTATGGAAAAAGGGAAATTTTATCACGTATGCTTGTTAAAAAGATCTTTGTATGGACTTAATCAATAACGTAGACAATGGTACAAAATATTTGATAATTTTGTAGCATATGTTGTTGGATTTATTAGAAGTGCTTTTGATTATTGTTTATATTTAAGAAAGAATAATGGGAATGCTGTGATTGTTTATTTTCTTCTTTGTGTAGATGGCATGCTGTTAATTAATCATGACATGAGTGACATTAAAATATCATTAAGCATGGGGTTTAAAATGAAAGACTTTAGGGCATTCTAAAAGAATACTTGGTATGCATATTGTAAGAAATAGGTCAAAACAAGTTTTAAATTAATACACATGTAAAAGCATAAAATTAGAGTAACTCAATCAAAATTACATAAGCTATAAATTTACTTATCGATCTCTTATTAAAATTTATTTTACTTGTTGCATGAGTTAGACAGATTTCTCTTCTCATTCTCAATATTGTTCCTAAATTAAGCAGTTGTATGTTAATTAAACATGTAATTAGTAACTATCATATAATCAAAGTTGCTAGATACTTTAAATTTAATAAACATTATTTGAACTAGTCGTTCATCCTAACAATAAAGTATTTAGTCACACATAATTGTGGAACTAAAACCGACAAAATGAAGAGCATCATCAAGTGCAATACAAAGAGTAAGAAAAACAATTCTAACAATTGTTGTCTCTGGACACTCAAATTCCAACAACAAATCTTCGACTTTTCTTTAATGTATATAGATCTCATCAATTAGTGTGCTTCAACCTTCAAATCTCAAATTGGAGCCATAAATTTTGAGGATTTACGTAAATAGGTGTGTAAACTAGTCTTAAGAATGCATCTCTNTTTTTTCCCCCCCCCCCCCCCCCGGGGAAATTTCAAACTATTTCGACATTCTCATCAAATTAAGAAAAGTTGACGAGATTGTCTATTACATTTACTTTCATACCTTTTGCATCATATCAGCTTATTTAGAAATTTTCATTAAACTAAACAAACGTAGCATGAGTATTTCTAGTAAATTCAGACTCTAGTCTTTTTTACCAACTTTATTTGATTTATGTGGAGAATATTTTAGTCAAAGAGCTCTACACTCGTAAATTGTATATTTCATAAAATTTGTGGGGAAAGACAAATTACGTTTTTGGTATAAAATAGAATAGTTAAGTCTCCGTTCAAAAATACTTACATAAACAAATTAATTTATAAATAAATTACAATATGTAATGAATAAAGTGTATATTTACAAATTTATCGAGACAAGTGATCGAATATGAAGTCTGATCATTAACAAATAATATAAATTTTGTCAAAAGGACTTTTTCTTTTCTTTTTTATTTTTTAAACTCTTTTTTCCCCAATTAAACTTGGCCGTGCATGCAAGTCTGTGAGTGCTCACCTGTTATAGCACCTTCGCATTGCGCGACCTTCGTAATTATTTTGCCGGTAAACCCTCATGCTCAGCCGCTGCAAAAATTATCGTCCGCCGCCGCGGAGGTCTTCCCTAAATTAAACGGATCAAACTATTGTCGTATTTTAACAAATATGAATTCTTATTGAGGATAAAATTAAATCATTTGTTATGGTCCCACAATCCGATTCCCCAAATCCCAATAATTCCGATGAAGATTTCTTCTCCACCACCACCTCCGTGGCTTCGGGCTCCACCTCATCCGACTCCAAGCCGCCTTCCCCGACGCAGTCCCTACCCCCTCAGATCCCCATCAAATGGCCTCCGGAAGGAGCACTAACCTTATCTTGGGTCACTGATCTGATGCAGGCATTCGAATGGGCCTCCAGAGCCCTACCGCCCTCGGAGTTTGCCTCAGTGCTTCCGGTTGAGGTCTTTGATAAACTTGTGCTTACGGCGTCCAAGATTTTGCATAAAGAGCCAAATTGTGTTGAAATTGATTCGGAATCGGGTTTGGGTTCTGATTCCCGAGTAGTGGTGGTTGGTGATGTGCACGGCCAGTTGCATGATGTTCTGTTTTTGCTTAAGAACGCGGGATTTCCGGGCGAGGACCGGTTTTTTGTGTTCAATGGAGATTATGTGGACAGAGGTGCTTGGGGTCTTGAGATTTTTCTACTGTTACTGGCTTGGAAGGTAAAAGTTATAATCTTGATTACTAGTTTTGATCTCGATAACTGCCTTTTTGTAGTGTAAGATAGTGTCTCAAGTTTGATCTTTTCTGGTTCTATAAGAGCAAGTAATTTTTATTTTTATTTATTTATTTTTAACTTGGATGGAGATTAAGGATGCTTTGGTTCAAATTTTCTCGCTGATTTGAATTATGTTTCCCTTTCTTCCATTAAATACATTTAGAAAGGTAATACCTGTATCAATTATGTGCATTACATCAATGACTAGGTTTGTCTTATATGGTAAAACAAAAAATAAGTAGATAAGTAAACATCCATCTCTTATCCCTGTCAAGGAAACCATGCTACTTCTGCACTGTTCTAGGAAGCAAGATCGGTGCAAATGCCAACTTCTATTTTTAGTTTTTTTGGACACTTCTTGTTATGCCTGACCCTGGTTAGAGCTGTGTTTGTGTTTGATCCCAGTTGGAAAACATAACAAACAACAACAACAACAACAAGCTAAGCCTTACTTAATGAACTTGGGGTTGTCTCTATGAATCCTTTATTGACATTTGGTTCCATCTACAACTACTGCAACTAAAAGGTTAATCTTTGCATCCATTTCAGGGCATGTTAATTTTGGCATACATCTTCTTCCAGAATTTTATGCCAAGATAACATAGCATCTGTGAATAAGAGCTTATCAATGTTTAAAGATGTACAGATATAGTAGGACTAAATGGAAAGTGAAATGGCCCCATTGCCAATGCATTTCATTCCTTCTTCTAGTCATTCTTTAGTGTTTTAGATGTGCCTCAGGTTTTTTAATATTTCCATTTATTATGAGTTAGGGGTCTCTTTAATTTCCATTTTTTGGGAACCCTGCAATCTGCAGAGTCTTCCAGAATTAATCTGAGTTAAGTTATGCCTGTGTTTTTGAATTTTTCCTGGTAGTATAAAAGTATCCATAACTTTTCTACTTTCGAATCCCAGAACTTGAACTGCTATTTCTGGAACCACATTAATTCTTATGAGGATTCTCTCTATTTATGTATGTTCTACAACATTTTAATTATAATCTTTACATTTACTAGAATTCAATTAAGATCTATGTTCCACTGCTCTTATCACAAGATTGTTTAAGTATTGTGAGATAATGTACTATATTTATACAGTTTAAATACACATTCAGAAATACATGTTCAGAAAACACATTCAGAAATACAAGTTCAGAATGTAACTGTACTTCGAGATTATAATGGACTTCATATTCTGTAGGTTCTTATGCCTCACAGGGTTTATTTGCTTCGGGGAAATCACGAGTCAAAGTATTGTACTTCTGTTTATGGATTTGAGAAAGAGGTCTTGACCAAGTACGGAGATAGCGGAAAACATGTCTACAGAAAGTGTTTAGGCTGTTTTGAAGGACTTCCTCTTGCTTCCATTATAGCTGGGCGTGTTTATACAGCACATGGAGGGCTCTTTCGCGGCACGGTTGTCACCCCATCAAAAAGGGCTAAAAAGAAGAATCGTAAAGTAGTTCATAACCCTGAAGGCAATGCTTTAACTCTTGGTTCCTTGGAAGAGTTGGCCAAGGCTAGGAGATCTGTCCTTGATCCTCCTTGGGAAGGTTCAAATTTGATTCCTGGTGATGTTCTTTGGTCAGATCCGTCAATGACCCCTGGTCTTTCCCCAAATAAAGAGAGAGGCATTGGTCTTTTGTGGGGTCCAGATTGTACTGAAGAATTTTTGAAGAAGTTCAATTTAAAGGTGAAGGCATTCTATCCAAGAAACATTTTCTCATTTCCTGTGCCATATCATATTGCTTATGCCAGGCATTTCTGCCATTCTCTCATTCTTTTCTTTTTGAACTCAATTGAGAAAATGTGATATGGACTAGCTTAAGTTGTGAGAAAATGCAACTCGATATCTACTGTATTTTAATGCAGTATGTTGATGTGCACAACAGTTAGATTACACTCATGACTTCTTTCTTCCTGCTTCTGTACACATGATCGTCTAGGATGATATAGAAAGTGAAGACTTGAAATTTCAGTTTCCATTTTTTAATATTCTTGTACCGTCTTTCATGTTACAGCTAATTTAGATGAGACTTCAAATTGTTTCCACACAGACAACTCTTCTAAAAAAAAATCCTGCTCGAAAGATATGAAAGATCTTCCTCCAAGCCGTATATATGACTTTCATTGAATACGGCTTTCCATACTCCCTTCTTTCCCAAACTCTTATCCTTCCTCTCAGTGGTAATTTGTGGTGGGATAGAAGAGAAAATCAAGGAGAGATATATGTAGGGTGCCTTTGGAATGCATTTTCGCCCTTCCATGTCAATTATTTTAACGAGCATGTAGAAACTTTCCTAAATATGTCTTTACAATTTGTTTCCCCTTGAGGGATGAAATCCCTCTCATTAGTTTATCTCATCCACGGATACTGTTAGAGCTTGAGTTGTAATTTTAAGTAATCAAAGGCCTATCTAACGTCTTAATAAATCTTAACGGCCTAGCTAAGGGCATAATAAATCTTAACTACTACTGCCTTTGGTAGAAACAGTATATATATATATATATTTTTTTTTTTTTTTATTCCATCGGCTGCTATATGAAATTTGATTTAAATTTAATCTGTCTGGCTAACCCACTACTGTTGGAATTGATTTGATAACTTAAACTTTTATTTCTGGTTACCTCAGTTGATCATTAGGTCGCATGAAGGTCCTGATGCTAGGGATAAGCGGCCTGATCTTGGAGGAATGGATGTAGGATATACTATAGATCATATTGTAGAGTCTGGGAAACTCATCACACTATTTAGTGCCCCAGATTATCCACAGTTTCAGGTAGCTTCAAACTCTGTGCATTAAATTCCTTCTGTCACCAATCACCATAGGTAGTTCTACAGTTGACTAATTTTATTTTGGGTTTCTGCCATGACACATGCATCTCTGCATTTTTATTCCAATATCTAAAATGTGGTAGTAATACACCCTGGATTTTCTTATTAATATTTTAAAATTGACATGTAGTTGAAACAAAGTTGACTGGGTTATTTATTTGTGAATTTTACATGGAATCACACACGAATAAAATTTACATTTTTTAGCTTTGCCATTGTAATTTGAATGGAGTGGAATATTAAACAATGTCCAGTGACGGGTATTGTCTGGCCTCTGTTTGCTTGTTTTCTTTTTGTTGCTGCCTTCCAAATGGAATAAGCCCATGTTCGCTATAGATTCTTTAAAACTCATTTTTTCCTCAAACTCATTTTCAACCACGCATTCTCCAATTAAAATAATTTTGCATGTGGGCCCAAAAATTTTAATAGCTTTTAACCTGAAATCCTCCAAAAATATCACTTTTCAAAAGTCTATTCTCAAAAAATGTATGCCAAACAGGCTATAAATTTTATTTTAGAGGAATAATAGCTTTCTTAATGTAGCCTGGAACCAAGCTATATGTTTAAGGTAACAGATAATATTTAACTGGGTTGCTGCCACAGAGTAACTCTTAGTGCAGAATTCATCATAAGTCGGGACCTTGGAAAATTTAAGGCTTGGTCTGCATAATACAAGAAACTATGGAGTTTTCCGAACTTAATAATTTACCAGTCTTTGCACATTTCTACCATATGCATAGTATTTAAATTATACCCTTTTGCAAAACTGTGCTGTTTTAAGTGCTATTTCCCAGAGATAACAAAAAATTGATAATTATTGGACATATTGCAGGCAACAGAAGAGAGGTACAGAAACAAAGGAGCATATATTTTCTTGGAACCCCCAGATTTCGACTCCCCAATTTTCCATAGCTTTGAGGCAGTTACTCCAAGACCAAAGGTGAGATATATCCTCTACTTGACCAAAAAATATGGGAAACAGAAAATTGAATTCTTATATACTAAATTATACTCATGTGGAAAAATAAATAGTTGGAGGCTTTTTGGCTTTCTTAGGAGAGAGCAACGTATTTGATATTAGTTTCATTTCCTTCTTATCTTTCTGGTAGAAGATTTACAAATTACTGGATTCATGTATTTTAGTTGTGAAAGCAATATAAGAGCTTACCTGTTCAAGTTAAATTTATCTTTCTAGATCAATGGAGACAATTGTGTCTGAATAAAAAGATGATGTTTAACATTCATGGCAGGCAAATCCTTATTACGATTTTGAAGACGTCATTGATTCCGATGAAGAATTGGACTTGGTGTCGATGGTGCCAGATTCATGATGGAAGTTGCAATGCTGTTTGAAGCATGGATTTTACACTATTTAAACTGAAGTCTTGTATCGGTTTTCATTATAATTTTTTGGTGTGTATTATTCTATAAATATCGCCGAGGGCTTCTTATATCCACTGCCCTTACCAATTGTAGATTTACATATGGGATGTTCTATGCATGGCAGTTGTCATGTTTTTTAATTAATATTACTAAGATATTTTATTATGCAAAACGGCCTGAAGTTATTGCTCAAGTTTCTTCTGTGTTTTCATTGGGTTGTGGTAGGTTTTTCTTAAGGTGTATTCCATGGTTTATATTGGTCTTGTCGATTGTTTTATAGTAGTGTATGTGGCGTTAAGGGAATTTTTTGTGTGGAAGTATTTTTTATTCTAAAAGATCCAATGTGAAATAATTATTGCTATTCTTTCAGGTTAATTTGAGCCCATTTTTTGGGAGGATGAATTTTGTAATAGTGATTTTTTGAGAATGTGTAGTTAAAAAGTAAGAAAACATGTAAAGTTACTTTATTGAGAGAATGTGTGGTTGAAAATAAGTTTCGGAAAAAAATGTTTTCTTTTTTAAAAGAATGAGATACAAAACATTGTAATAATTTTGTTTAACTTCTGAACAGGATAATGGTAATTTTAGAAAAGTGCTGAAGGGTAAGGTAAAAACAGAAAAATGGTCTTCAATGGGCGCCCATCCTAGAGGCAAAGTTATACAATTGGACGTGAAGATTGGTATAGGTTTTTGAAATTTTTTCCAATTGCGTGAAGAGCAAATTATTGCTTGCGGGCACCTTCACTCTCAATTGTAAGCTCGGTGTATTTGTGCATGAAGTTTTGATCTATAAAATTTATATTTACCGATCAAAGAAAAAAAGTTCAGTTGCCGTTTTAACAATGGGGTTTGATGCGCTGGCACTTAAGGCATTTGGATACAAATTATATTTCTATGATCTTGAATTTTTATGATCGCCTCAACCTCAAGTTAGATGCCTTTATTCTATCTAGTTATACTTCAATGCAATTTGCCAAGTTCCAGACAAGAATAAAATTATAAACGGAAAAAGCACATCCAAGAAACCAACCAGGACGGCAGGACTACATCTTTTTCCTGCACTTCTTGCTGGCAGCCTGGTTAACTCAAGTACAGAGGTCAGCATACTTTGTTTGTAGGTTGACTTGGCTTACCTCAAACCTTGTTACTTGTTTCGTATTCCCTTATCTTTCTCTAATGACATTTGGACTCAAATACAGGGTGGTTTACACCAGTGAGTATCTTTCTTATATTGGTTCAGCATTTGGTTGTTGTGCTGCTGGTGTTTGACCGGCATTTGTTTGGGTACTTGTCAAAGTCACTGGTGCTCCTAAACAATTCCATGGCCTTGTCATTGGTTACTGTGCTGCAGGTGTTTGACCAGCACTAAACTTTGCCAATATATATATATATATATATATATTAATTAAGTTTATTGCTAATGGTATTATATATGCAACAAAATTGATGATCCTAATATGATTTTTTTTTAATTGGTAAATTCTACTGCTTATTCAATGAGAGCATATTCTATTTTATCATTACATATTTGTGAAACTTCAACAATAAGTTCCCATCACGCACCTTATATACTGACTTCTGTCACAATTCCTGCTTTTAAAATCAAAAAACTTGATGTTCATTGCCTTACACGTATTGCAGGGTGCTTTTAAAATTGCAAATTCTGTGAAATAATAATAAAAAAGTAAGGGCTCAGTTGGTGCAGTCACTCCCACTGAATTTCCAAATACCTTCAATTGGTTTTAAATTTAAAATTTTAGATTTTTTTGGTTTCTTCCACAATTTATTTTAGCCGATTTTTCATGTCGCCCACACTGAACCATGATCTGTCTATACCCTGTGAGGGAGTCGGGGAGAGGGGATTATGATGAGATTTGTAGAGCTATATGATAGCTATGACTTTATGGGAATGTTGTAAAAAATTGGTGTGATTTATGCATTGAAAGGACAAAAACAATCCAAAAGGACATCTACAAAAACTTTTCCTCGAAAGAAACTTCAACTTGTCAATGTTTCTTTGAAGGAAGCAACAATTTTTATGAGTTTTTCTGTAATGTTAATTATACTGTTATAAACAGTAGTAAGGAAGAAAAAGAAGTTAAAATCTCTTCCATGGCTGAGTCGTGTACTGCATATGGAACTTTTTAGGGGTCAGATTATTTGACGTTAAGGGTAGACATGAAAATTTGTCGAAGGTCTTCCCCGTTAATTCATCCAACGATCATAATTCATTGAGAGGCCTAGGATATTTTTGAAAAAGTCGTTTGTAGTATATGGACATGTTTACATGCTGCAACCTTGCAAGTCATGGATCCTAATCTTATGAGCGCCTTCAGTTGTGGCAGTTGGCCTTTAATGATAAAGAAAATAATAGAATTCAAAATTATTGCTGTTGTGACTTGCAGATGTATAAATCTAATTCTGATTTGAATCAGAATATCTGTATTCTGCTAAAGTTTCTTGAACCTAACTGTTACCGAAGTTTCTTGAATTTATTGCTGTTTGATCTGCACAGGGAATTTGGAAAACTTGCCTGTCATTATCGTCCCAGCAATTTGTGAAGAAAAAAATAATCCATTTGGAGATTCATCTACTTGCTCGAGAAATGGGATGACTTATGTATCCCTATCTATGTCGGTAACGTACATAATTTCTTACTCTACGTACTGGCATAGATGAGCTTAATTTCAACATCTAGATGCTTGTACTATTATCTTCACATATTCACTTTCAAGCATCTATATACTTATCCCCGGTCCTAAATTGCATTGGATTAGAGCTTCAATCACTGTATAAATATATATATTTTTCATCCTTATAGAGTTCCTGGCAACACGGAAAAATTAGTTAGACCATTTTTGTTTCGTTTATTTCTTGTGTTTACTTTCTTCTTCCCTTGGTTTCTTGTAGATGGGGGCTGTTTTTATTTGGTCTTATGTTTATAATAAAATAAGGGCATATGAGAGTAAGGATGATGTTGGCATGAAGATAAACATCTGCAGTTTGATAAAAGCTCATAAATATTCTCAGACAGCAGTAGAGAAGCACTACCATCGGAGAGTATTCCATGCTATGAGCTCCATGAAGCTCCAGTTGAGCGGCTTATTGGAAGATCTGAGGACAAAATTAAGGCGCTATTTGTTTTTTCTTCTTTTCCTTTAAATATATATATGCACACTTTATGTGAAATATGGGCAATTCATATTTTTCTAATATGCATTCTTCTTTAATTAGTAAACAGCCTCTTTAGTAATCTCATTTTTAAAAACTCAAAGTTGGAACATTTGACACGATGTACGACTTTTTTGTTTGGTACTAAGAGAAAAAATAGAAAGATGAAATTACTTATATCAGACATCATAGGACTAAAAAAGTAAAGGCGACAGTCTCATGTTTCTAACTCGTTGCTAGATACTTGTGCCAAGCCAATCTATGATGAAGTTTAAGCATATAAAGCTTTCTGTAGTTGTTTGAACCTTTACCTGATCGAACTCAATATTCAGTCCTGCCGAAAATTCAAAAATCCTCCCTTTTCAGAAACTTTTGTAGAATGGCATCATCACCAACACATTTCATTTTAAAACTTTGATACTGATCCATTTCTAGCCAAAGACCTTTCATAGCGTTATAGTATTCAGTGACAGAAAGGTTAACTTGTTTTATATCATGAGCTTTGCATTTAATTTCATAGATTTGTGCAATCATACCTACGTTAGAATATGTTTGGAAAACAGCTTCCTATATCTCTTTGGTAGTAGACAGAAACATGTAGGTCTTGCTCACGGCTCTGGTTGTATAGAGTTCCACAGCCATGACATCATCATCGACTCTTCAATAGTCCACACTTTGAAATTGGTGTCTTCTCTTTTGGCTGTGGCCCTGTCAAGTGATCTAGCTTTCATTTCCCTTTGATATTGGTTTTGACAGCTTGTGACCACTCAATGTAATTCTGGTTACTTAAATGGTATTTGAAGATTCAGTCAATCATTTGGAAAAGTTGTCGGTCATTGTGCAGGGGCAGGTTTGGAAGAACTTTCAGACATTGAGATTTGGGACTTTCAACCGAGAAAAGAACGAGGAATTTGACAGAAACTAGTGGCTAGGATTTGGAGAACCTAACTTAG